AAATGTGGGTTTTGTTCCTGGGTGGTGAGAAAGAGTCCCACAAACAGGAGACCCCAAGTCCAGAAAACACAGCTGATGGAGCCCAGCCTTTCAAGAAATCCCCAGGCACCCTTAACCCCACCGCCCTGCTCCCTGAACGGCTCGGAACAGGTGGCGAGGCCTGGGGGTAAAGGACGGAGGAACTGACCCGAGTCCCCGGCCCCGAACTCACTTCCCAGCACGCGGGGGGGGGGGGGGTGCCCACTCCCCACTGGCTCCTGCCCACCCCGCCACCCCGCAAGCACAGGACAACGACTCCTCCAACCATCTGGGGGCGGGAGGCTGGCTCCGCCCGGCCCCTGGTGGGTCTGTGGGTGGATTCAGACTCGGATTAGCTCCTGCCACGCTATGTAAACGGGAGTCGGAACCTGACGGGACCCCAAGTCAGGCCCTGGGATGCCAGAGACAGCCCCGGGAAGCCCACGTGCCACTCACCTGGACACCCCAGCGGAGCTCGGAGCTCGGGTGAGCCAGTCCGGGGCCCCGCCCGCCCAGGTCCTCGCGCTGTGGCTGGCTGAGCGCACGGGGCCTATGGAGGGTGCCCCGGCCTCCACCAGCCCCCCCCCCCCCCCCGCACTGGCAGCTGCCCGAGGCCGGCTGGTCTCCCTCCTGCAGAGGGAGGAGGACGGGAGCCCGCGCTCACCGCCAGAGCCTCCGGACAGAGGGAGGTGGTCCTGGGCTGACTGAGGGCAGACTCGCTGAGTGGGGGCCTAAGGCCCACAGCGGGCACAGCAGCCTCTGCCCCCGCAGCACTGGGCACGCTGGCGAGGGCTGACCTTCCAATGGGGCCCTAGAAAGGTGTTTCCAACCCTGGACAGGTACCCACTGACCACACAAACCGACCAGTGAAAAGCTGTTTTCTTTCAAATTAGGGGACCAATAAAGAGAACTGCAAACAGTGTGAGCTACGGGAAAAGTAAGGTTCTGGCCCAGGCTGCTGCCCTGCACCGAGCCGGCGGAACTGCCCCTCCACCCCGGACCCTGCGCAGCCGGAAGAAGGGCCCTGCCCTGGAGACAGGGCACCGCTGCGAGGTCTGCCGCGCTCAGGGCAGCCGGCGGGGCCACCCCAGGGTAGGGTTAGGGGCTTCCACTCCAGCGGGCTACCCACACTAGGGGCTTCCACTGCAGCGTGGGTACCCCACGGTAGGGTTAGGGGCTTCCACTCCAGCGGGCTACCCACATTAGGGGCTTCCACTGTAGCGTGGGTACCCCACAGTAGGGTTAGGGGCTTCCACTCCAGCGGGGCTACCCACACCAGGGGCTTCCACTGTAGCGTGGGTACCCTACAGTAGGGTTAGAGGCCTCCACTCCAGCTGGGGGGAGGGGGCGCCTCTGACACACTGAAATTCGAGGATTCAGGGAAGTGAAGCTGAGCTTTATCAGCGACATCTCAACCTGACCTCTTCTGAGATCAGGCCTAGATGGACCCGGGGAGCAGAGGAGGTGGGGGAAGTGCAAACTCGGACAGAGGCTGGATTCGGCTGAAGCTAGCACTCCATATACATACAACTTATACACTGAGATCTTAAGGCTTCTGATGTCAAACAGCAGACCACGCTCGATGTAAACATGACTCCGTAGGTCAAACTCCAGGGATTAAAAAGCATCACTGAAGCAGGAAACACAGTTAAGCAGCATTTGGAAAAACAAAAAAAAAGTAGGGTAGCTCTTGAAAGTAGAAAAACTGCTACAAATAATAAAAGGGTTGAAAGATAGTGAAAATCCTACCAAAACATAAGCACAAAGATTTAAAAATGAGATAGCCCTGGCCGGTTTGGCTCAGCCATTAGTGTGTCGGCCTGCGGACGAGAGAGACCCGGTTCGGTTCTGGCTCAGAGCATGTACCTCGGTTGCAGTTTGTCCTCGGCCCCAGTTGGGGTCGTGTGGGTGGCAACCAATCAATGTGTCTGTCATATCAACGTTTCTCTCTCTACCCCCCCCCCCCTCCTGCTCTATCTGAAGATAAATGCAAAAATGTCCTCAAGGGAGGATGGATGGATGAATGGATAATTAAATTAAATGAATTAGTAAATAAATAAATGGTATAGACGACTAGGTGTAGTTTTACCATGAGAGAACAGAGAAAGCTTAGGGAACAATTAGCCAAGAAGGAACACAAAACACTAGGCAGATAGGGGGAGCTGCAGGGCACCTGCCACCCCATCCTCGCTTTTAACCAAAGGTCCTCAGGGTAAAACTTGGGAACACCAGCCTCTGGGATCAAGCTGCAGAGGACTGGACTTTGACCCAGAAAGGTAGCTGGTGGAAGGCACCCACTTCCCCAGCAAGGAGAAAAGAGGCACACCACAGGGCACACCAGTGGCTGGAAAAGGATGGTCTGAGTGTAAAGCAAACTGGTGTGTGGAATGGTTTTGATCAATTGTTATTTGACCTTGACACAGTGAGTACCCCTGGAAACAGAGAGAAGTCACAGAACTGGAGAAGCAGCAAAGGAAGGCTATCAGACGGTCAGCGGGCCCACACGGAGCGCTGGGTCAGTGGTGCAAGCCCCGCCCACGATTCCGTGTCAGGAGGCCCGGCAGTGGACAAGCGGTCTCGTGGTCAGGAGCAGATGCAAATGCTAACTTTGGACGTGGACGTGTCCAGCTCACAGATGTCGCGTTGAGAAAACAGGAACGGGGAAGGGAAGGGTGGTGTATCATCATCTAAGCACACTTCTAATTATATTGTTAACAGTTATCAAGTTTTTTTCTTTTTTGCTTTTACTTTTTTTTTAAATCCTCACCTGAGGATACATTTTTCATTTTCAGAGATGAAGGAAGAGAAACAGAGAAAGAGAAAGGGAGAGAAACACTGATGTGAGAGAAACATCAATTGGTTGCCTTCCCACGAGCCCCAACCAGGGATTGAACCCACAAACTACTTATGTGCCCTGACGAGGACTCAAACCTGCTGCCTGTTGGTGTAGGGCACGTTCTAACCTCCTGAGCCACGGCCGGGACAGTGTTCTCTTTACTGTATCTACATGAGATGATGCACGCAAACTAAATTCACTGCATGATCATGTCAAACCTTCAGCTGTATACCTTCAACTTACTGTGATGCACACCAACTGTACCTCAGTAAGACTGGAAAAATACGAAGCTACCAAGAAGAAAGAGTGAGGTAAGTGAAATGTTTACTTATCATTCATAAAGTCAACAGAAGTATCAACTTGGTAAGAGAAAAATACATGTGAGGCGACCGCCAGCAGGGGCAGGCAGGTGGGCGAGGGGTGGGGGGGGAGGGGCAGGAGCGCGCCCTCCTTGACCCCCTCCCCAGCACGCTGCGTCCTGACAGTCTGCGTGAGAAATTCAAATCTATACCTAGAAATGAGGACGGTAATGAAACACAGGGCCGTGTACAGCTGGGCTGCAGTAAGGGTGGGCTGGGGGTGATTTCCTTCCATGTTAACTCGCTCGGCAATGTAGTCCTGTATCAGCATCTGACACATCAAGGTGTGCAAAAGCCTGCCAAAGCAACCAGGCTATGGCCTTTGAGGAAATGATGAAAAAGACAGAAATGGTCTGTAAATGATCTCTGTAAACAAAACAAACTGGAGGAAAACTAAGAGACATCACGATAACAATGAACATCTTCGCCAGCCTTTCCCAGCAGCGAGGCTGTAACGTGTAGGTTGAACAGCCCCCGCATTTCTCCAGCTGAACTCCCTTAGGAGGCCCGGGCCTTGTGCACTGGCCTGCCCGCCCCCACGCCCCCACGCCCCCACGCCCCCACCTGCAGCCACAGCACCCCTTCTCCTGCCGCTGCTCACTCCGAAGCAACTCCTCCTGTGACGAACCTGTGGCCTCCTTCGTGATTTCTGTCCTTGCAGCTTACGGTCAACTCTCGCCCCCAATTCAAAGGTTTACTATTTAATGTTATGTTTTGTACTTTTTTTTTTTGGTAATTCGCAGGAAACCGATTTTGAATATGGTATGTGGCAGGCATCTTAACTAGTGATCCTCACAACATCTGTTTAATGCCCCTTCTCATCCTAACCAAATTCTTGTAACAAGATGAATGTCGAGGACATGGAGTCTTCTCAAGTGAACAATAGCATACACTCAGAACTGATCATTTCTGTCTTCCTATATTTACACCTCGCTGTTTTAACGTTTTGGATCGTTCATTCAATGATCTAAGAACTTACATTCTAGACATATATGATATATAATGGTAAATGAGAAGAGGGCTGTTGCCCCCAATCTTAAAATATCAAAAAATTTAATGATGGCAAGAAGGAACAAAAATTCTTGTTGGTATAGTTTGAGTTCTAAGAATGATTCTCATCATCGTATCTGTGTACTGATGTAGTGTTTGTGTAAGATGACTGTCCATTGATTTCATGAAACAAACTTCGAAACACAGGAGCTGGAAACTACGCCACGGACAGCGAAGCACAAGCGCTGTGCAGGCGCAGGGGCAGCGCTGCAGGAGAGCCACCAGACCACACGCGCTCGGCACGCGCCGAGCTCAGTGCACACGGACCCACGCCCATCCTACCGGTGACGGTCCAGGTCAGTCACCAGGCGCGCTCACCTGTCACGTCTACTCCACATCCCCACGGCACACCGATGCTTCAACATTTAAAGCCTCCTTTTCATATGAATGAGACCCAACCATTTTTAACCAAAAGTGCATCAGAGACGCTACTGCTTGTTATGGGTCAATAAACACTCTGCTAAGTCTCAGCGCTGAGACAGGAACGTGTCAGCAAACCCTGAAGAATGCACTAGAAATAAGCAAGACATCTGGAACGCTTTAATCCTGCAGCCAACGCCAAGCGCACCAGCAGCTGCGTGCGGTGCCTTGAGCATCTCACATAACCAGCCTGTGCGGCTTTAGGGGCGGGAATGAGAGCGGAGTGTCGGGTCTCACACTTCCGCTGAAAACTCAAACTCAGAACTTTGTTTTCTCTGCACGACAGACGCAGCCACAGACTTGAAGGGGGTTTTGCTTCAGTCCCATGACTCGTCATCTGCTGGGTTAGGAGCTTGTGACGCAGAAAACCCTGCTGTGTTCAGAGTGCTCTTGCCCTGGTAATTCTTCAAAAGAAAGAGAAAAAGAATTATTTAGAGTTCTCAGAGCTGCAGTCACACCGCCCAGACTGGGGCCGGGCACTCACACGCCCCTCCATGCCCGCCCACATCCACTCTCCACGAACCCCAGCTATTGAAAAAAGGCCCGTCTCCACCTGGGAGTCTCAACTGCACAAGACATGTCAAGAAAAAAACTGTAAGCCAATTGTTTTGGCAAACAGAGAAACTTGAAGCTCTGTCTGCCAATGAGCTGGTGTGAATCAGTAATGCCATGTGCTCCATGTCTGTGGCCTGCACTGACCCAGCAGAGAAGACACAGCTCGTGTCGCTAGTGTTTCATCTCAGTGCTGATGTGGCCAGAATTCCAAACTGAAGAATCCACATGGAAAGTTCAAAAGACACCAAGTTAGACCCTGGCCGGTTTGGCTCAGTGGTTAGAGCATCAGCCTGCGGTCCAGAGAGACCGGGGTTCGGTTCCCACTAAGGGCACATACTTCGGTTGCAGTTTGTCCCCAGCCCTGGTTGGGTCGTGCAGGAGGCAGCTACTCAATGTGTCCCTTTCACGTCGATGTTTCTCTCTCTCCCTCTCACTCTATCTGAACAAAAAATGGAAAAATGAACTCAGGTGAGAATAAAAAAAAAAGATACCAAGTTGGAATATAAAATGCCAGCAAAATTGGGAAAGGAGGAATTTTAAGTCTACATCTTGTTAATTCCTCACCTTTAATACCAAAAACATCCATGCACATAAAACTGTAGAGAAACACTGAAGCAGCCCCTCGTATGGAGCAGCGGCTTAGGAGGACGTCCATGTCACAGTTCCTTCACAGGGACAAGCGCCAGGTTCTGAGCTGCCCCTCGACCCACCTTTCTGGTGTCCACCGACGCAAACACACTGTCTCTTGGGCCCCCACTGAAGCCAGGAACATAGGTACTAAAGGCAATTTCTTCCAACCAGGCAGGAACATCCTGCTGAGCCTTTAAAAGCAAATGAACTCCATGTACAACATGCACAAAGTCTCAAAAACGGAACAATCTACTTTCCCTGAATATACACATGTATAAAACGTCTACTTTCAATGTTAAGAACATTCAGTTTTAAAATTTTAATACTTAGCCCTGGCTGGTATGTCTCAGCAGTCAGAGCGTGGGCATGTGGACCAAAGGGTCACAGGTTCAATTCCCAGTCAAGGGCACATACCTGGGTTGCAGGTCTGATCCCCAGCCCTGGTTGGGTCACGTGCGGGAGGCAACCAATTGATGTCTCTCTCTCACATCAGTGTTTCTCTCTTCCCCCATTCCTCCCTTCCACTCTAAAATTCAATGGAAAAAATATCCTTGGGTGAGAATGAACCAAAACATGTTTTTTAAATACTTACATCTGACAGTATTTTCACTAGAGGCTGTGCCAAGTGCCGGTCTGACTCGGGGTCGAAGAAGGAGACAGCTCTGCCGGTGTTCCCGCAGCGCCCGGTGCGCCCGATCCGGTGAACATACTCATCGATGGTGGAAGGAAGGTCGAAATTGATAACATGCTGGACATTTTCGATGTCCAGCCCCCTGGCAGCCACGGAAGTAGCAACAAGGACGGGGCACTTCCCGCAGCGGAAGTCTCCAAGGGCCTGCTCTCTCTCTCTCTGTTCCCGGTCACTTGGGAGAAAGGAAAGCACATGTTTTAGGACAGCTCTTAAGAAAATCAGAAGGAGAGCCTTTAAAGTTCAACATATAAATTTCTTTGTAATATTAGTAAAGACAGCGACATTTAACATTAAAGTCTATTCCTTATATACCATGTATTTATTATACAATTCCCACAATACCTGGAGGTTGGAACAGTCACCCCCATTTGCAGATGAGGTAACAGGTAGTACGTACAAAGTATAAACTCAAGTGTGATAAATGTCAAATCTCACCTATTAATAATCTCTATTAGTCATCTTTTTAGTTTTGAAAAAATACAACTATTTGAATGGAATACTTTCTTAAAAATACAGATTTTTAACAAAGCGTAATCTCAGAATTCTACATATTCACTGATTAATATTTCATCTCTACTAGTAAATACCAGTAAGGCTGTGTTAATATGTGTTTAAGCACCCCTATAATAAAAAGTGTCAGGCTTCAAAAGGATTAGATTCAGCAGAGAAAACACTCAGACCTGAGGACCAGAGGCCTGTAAGTGAGACCCTCTGAGAAGTGAACTCTTCTCCTCAGGACGAGGAGACTGAAGACAGACCTTCAACTCAACCTATCCTGCCACTGAGTCTACTTTCAACTTAAAGGGAAGATGAAGGATCACAGTGTAGTGCTTGAGAACTCTGAACACTAACCCTACAATTGTATCCTCTTAGTTACACACACTCATGGGTCTGAACACATGAGACATCAGCTCCCTACTAGGAAAGGGTGTTAATTTACTCACCCATGAATACTTGTTGTTGATATTTTTTCTTGACAAAGAAAAGTGGCAATAAAATCTGCTTTTTTCTTAGTTTCCACAAAGACCATAGTCCTTTCATCACCTACAAGACAATGAAATGGTAACATTCAAACTGAAAACTCAGGAAAGGAGAGGGGGCGGGGGAGGGGGAGGGGGAGCAGGAGCCCTTCTCATCCATCACTTCATTCCCAGCGCCGTGCACGAGCCTGGCAGGTATGAGGGACGCAAGTATTTCCCTAGTGGATGACTGTCAAAGGTAAAGGGACAAGGACTGTTCTTCTTACTTTCAGGACTGAAACAACCAGCTTGTCCTTTGCCCTTCGCGCCATCGGCAGGAAGGTCAGTGCATCCTCCTGCTCTCGGCAGGCCCACCGCTGTCTCAGGCTCTGCGTTCCCCCCTGTACAGAAATGCCTTTGCCCTTGGCCTCCAAGCTTACCCCATCTTTCACTCTGCCTTGACTGTCCAAGGTATTTATAATAATGGCACCCAACCCAGGGCTGACAAACTCTAGAATACTTCATGTTCTAACTTTATCGCTTAATTTGAATGTCTTTGTCCCCGAAGTATTTTTTTCCCTTTATTGATTTGAGAGAGAGAGGAAGGGAGAAGGAGAGAGACACAGAAACATCGATGAGAGAGAACACCAAATGGCCGCCTCCTGCACGCCCCCCAATGGCAATCAGACCCACAACCTGGGTATGTGTCCTGACCGGGAAGCGAACCGGCGACCTCTTAGTGCACTGAGTCACGCCAACCAGACTCAAAGTATCTTATATAGATAATTAAAAAATTAAGTGATAACTCTCTCCCAGGGTCCTAATGCATCAAACATTATTGACTTGCTAGCTTAAAGTGTTCAATTGGTAGAAACTTAAGCATGAGCCAGAGATTTTTCCACACAAAGAAGTTCCCTAAAAAACGTTAGAAAGATGATAGTTACAGCCTTAATGGAAGGAAGAACTCACTATGTTCATAATCCCGCCCTCACCCTATCATCTGGCTTCGTTCACTCAACAAGTGTCCAGACGCCAGTCGCCGTTCCAGGCGCTGGAAACACAGCAGTGAAGCAGACAGTGCCCGCGCTGGGGGGACGCAAATGACTGACAAATACTCTGCGTGAAGTGGTAGGAAGGACAATCAGAAGGATGGAGGGTCTGGAGAGGGTGCCTTCTCTAACTGGATGACAGTGAACAGAGAGATGACAAAGTGAGATGTGAACTACTCGAGCATCTGGGGAAAGCACCATGAAGGCCGAGGCTGGGTGTTCTTGGTGTGCTCGAAACCTCGGCAAACAGACCTACGCAGCAAGTCCACAGGCCTGCGAGGCAGGACCCCCGGTGTGTGCGCAGTGCCGAGCAGAGCTGCTGCGGAGTGTGCAGGGGTGGCAGCAGGAGAGACGGAGACGACAGGCCACGCCACGTGCCCGACGGCCACTGAAAGGACCTTTTCCTCTGAGAAGGGAGCCACGGGCTGTCACCAGAGAGGTGGTAAGAGCCGATCTTTGCTTTAACTGAGCAGCTATTGGATCTTGCATGTATTTTGATGGTAGAACCAAGAAGGTTTGCAACAGATCAGATGTGGTCAGAGGAAGCATCAGGACAGCTGCAGGAGCCGTGTCTGAGCACCGAGGTGACTGCGACCGGGGCTGTGAGACGGGGCGCCAGGGGCGGTCTCGGGGGGCAGCAGAGAAAGCCAAGGCGCCCGCACGAGCAGAGCCCTTGCAGACAGTCATTTGGTTGACGAGCAATGATTTTCCGTTTTATCAGAAATTATCAGACTTGATGCTTGATGCCAAAGCTGACTCCCCTGAGGGTCAGGCACCAAACACCCCTGAGCAGCCGAGCCCTCACCCACCCCTCCTTGGCTCCCAGGGTGAACCCCCAGCGACCACAAATCTCACTCTGCTGACTCCCCTCATTGCTGACTTCGCATCAGCTCTGGTTCAGACCATAAGCTGCACCCCTGCTGGCAGCAGGTTCCAAGGTAAAAAAATGAAAAAGAAAATATTAAATTATATGAACAAAATTGTGAAGCTGAGGGCATACTGGCAAGATACTCCATGCAAAGCAAAAGAAATACAGCAATGAATTCTAAACTTCAAAACATTTAACAGTTTAAATAACACAGAAATATACCAAAAGTGCTCATGCACTGACCCTGAAGGCTAACCGGCACTTCTGGAAACCCTCTTCATCAGGGTTATTCTCGGAACAGGTGCTGGTCTACAGACCACACGCAACTGTGATCACAACAGAACGTGCTCCTGGCCAGCAGAGCTCACCCTCAGCCACGTGCTGAGGGACTCGGCCTCTCTGCTCTGTGTCCTCCATCCTCAGGGTGGGGTGGCAGACCTACCTCACAAGGCTGTTTCAAGAACTAATGAGTTAGTAACACATGTATAACAATCAGAACAATAACTGGCCCATAGCAGGTATTATTTTTATTTTATGTGCCACAGAATGTGTTATGAAACATCACGAAGCAAACCAGTAAAATTTCTCACTCAACATTAAGTATTTGGTTTTTAAAAATGTATGTATACATATACACACACACAGATATACACACACACAGATATACACACATATACATATACACACACACACATATATAAAGACTAAAAACCTTTAAAAAGTGCTTTCTAAGTCAACCTTCTTTCTTTTGCTCATTTTTGGAAATCAGATGGTTTCTTGCCTTCTCCTCCCCCTTTCCAACACCGACATCGCGGTGGAGAAGAGCCAGGCCAGTGGAGGACAGGAGGGGAGGGACAGCCTGGAACGCACTCGGCTGTGAGGCCACAAGAAGCTATCGTGAGTCCCTGAGACTTTTATTTCCGGGTACAAACTACAACTATTTCAACCAAACAAAGAAATGCTGACTCTCCATAAACACTGTTTTTGGGGGACAGAGGACTAGATTTCTCACTGGTATTGTGAAGAAACAGAATCGGATCTTTCAAGTTCCCTCCAGCCCTAAAATGCTTTGAATTTTTGAAGAAGGGGCCTTAGGAAACAAAAACTGGGAAGCAGACAGAAAACAGTGAAGAATTCCCTTTCGGTGGAGTAGAGCTTGCCGGAGACATGGTACCTGAGCGTTTATATTTTCTAAAACAGAAAAACAAACAAAACCATTTTTCTGCTGGAATAGTTTTTGGCCAAATACTATTATGCAGTCTCAACTCCGTCCTATGTCTAACCTTTATGGAGGAGAAAGAACTATTCTACTACATAATTTACACAGAAAACGGAATCATAAAAACAGTTTTAAAAAAGAATAATAAAAACAAATTTATTAAAACCATGCCAAACAATTCTCAGGGTAATTTTAAAACATCAAAATCATGACAAAAAATAATCACGGCGAGGGAGGTACCTGTGCTCCGCAGGGTCTCCACGAGCTTCTCTCTCTTCGCGTACTGGCCCACCTGGAGAACGGTCTGCTGGACGTCTGTGCAGGCTCCGCCCACTTGTCCAACAGCGACAAACAAATAGTCCGGCTTCAGAAACTCCCCAGCCAGCCTTGAAAGACAAAAGATTTTTCCTTAAATTAACCTCTTCCGTTAATACGCACAGCATTTGCTGAAATCCTGCAAGATGATAAGGTGAATGCTTGTATCATCCAAGTACTATTGTCAGATTAATATAAAATGTTGATTCTGCAACATATGTAACTACTAGTGAAAAGTTTGTGTCAAATAATGAACATTAATTCTGATTGGATGTGCTGACCATGTAAAACTATATAAAATGTGTGTGCTCAACTGAAATGTCAGTTTACTGCAAAAAATTCTGTTCTTTGCTCATTGTGTGTATTATGTGAAATATTGTTTGTTAAATTACTAAACTTCACATGAACGGCCATGAGCAAACCAGACCTTAGGCCAGTGCCTTTCACGTCATGACACACATAGAAAATTGTATTTGTTGAGCAAAAGTGGGCAAAGTATGAGACAAGAAGTGAAGGGCCCAGAGGCCAGGCCAGGCCAGGCCGTGGATGTGACTCGCCCCTACGGTTGGGGTATTAGCACCTTGACACAAACGAGGTCACCCAGAGACCGGGGGGCAGAGAAGGAGAACTACGGTTAGAAAGCCAACTTTGGGGATAACAGGACAGATCCAAACCTCCCTGCAGCCCTCCTTTCTCCCTTGTTCTCTCGCCGTCTCCTGGAATATCATGAAAATAGTCAAACTCAGCATATCCGAATCTCTGCAAATAGCTGCTGCCTCTTTTTCCTCCCTGTTCTCCCACCATGAAAAAGAGAAAAGCTTCCTTTCGATCTACCTCTTCCAGAGTCAAGCACCCTCTCATCCAGGCACAAACCTTGACACCATCAGCAATCCTTCCATGTCCCTCCTCCTCCTCGTTCCCTGAGCACTGCGGGGGCCTGGGTCAGGCACACCGGGACTAGGCACTGGGCACAGTCCTTCCCTGTCCCTCCTCCTCGTTCCCTGAGCACTGCGGGGGCCTGGGTCAGGCACACCGGGACTAGGCACTGGGCACAGTCCTTCCCTGTCCCTCCTCCTCCTCGTTCCCTGAGCACTGCGGGGCCTGGGTCAGGCACACTGGGACTAGGCACTGGGCACAAAGATGAACAGGATGGTCTCTGCCTCGGAGGTGCTGACATCAAATTATATTAAAATAGCCCTGGCCGGTGTGTCTCAGTGGTTAGAGTGTCGGCCTGCAGTACAGAGAGACCCGGGATTGATTCCCGCTAAGGGCACGTACCTCTGTTGCAGTCTATCCCCGGCCCTGGTTGGGTTGTGTGGGTGGCAACCACTCAATGTGTCCCTTTCACATCAATGTTTCTCTCTCTCTCTCTCTCTCTCTCTCTCTCTCTCTCTTTCTCCCCCCGCCCCCACTCTGTCTGAACAAAAAATGGAAAAATGTCCTTGGGTGAGGATAAAAATAAATAAATAAAACAATTACTATACTTTCTAATGTATACTATATATACATTTTAATTGTATAGTGTTTTAATATTTAATATATTTACAATAATGTAGTGTTACAACAGAATCTACTGAACACTTCCTATATTCCAATAAATGTTCAAAGTGTTTTATAGAGTAGAGTCAGTTTGAAGCTTGGTCTAAGCAAGCAGCAAGTAAAAGTTTGGAAGATTTTTCAAGGGCAGAGACGTAAAGGAATGTGAGGGGGATTAAACCTGCTTCTGTGGACTCTGGCTTAGAAAGACTATCATGCCAACAAGGAAAACCCGGAGGAGGGAGCCAAGCAGGGCTCCGCTGGGGACAGGGTGAGCATGATGCAGTGATCCATCCACGCGAGAACACGGCCAGAAGGTTAGATCTGAGAGCCTGGGGCTCAGCAGAGGTCAGGGATGCAGGCAGCAGGTCTGGGAGTTACAGGCAGAGGTGCCAGCTAACAAAATGGACGCTGCAAGGGTTCAGTGAACACAGAGAATGAGAAACATGGACTCAGAAGACAGTGACGCAGTTGAATGACACAAACAACCCAAGACCAGGGACTCAACTTTATTTACTGTACATTCCCAGGGCTCCGAATCCAATATGGCTCATAAAAGTCCTCAACAACATGACTGACGGATGACGTGCACACGGCCATTTGAGCTGGCTGATACCAAACACTTTCCCACTTGAGGGTAAATCAAGGAATAGATGGGCAGCAGGAATAGTAGTCGCTGATTAGGTAGATAATTGATATTACTTACCAAGGACAATGGAAACATAGATATCCTACTTCAAATGTAAGACCCCACTGAAGTGTAAGAAACTACTATGTTATGTGTCACTAGTGCAAAACCTGTACCAACTGCCTAAACGCTTTCTTATGATTTAGACCTTTTCCCCAACAAAGAGTTCTATTTAATTTTACACAAAGACTTGTATTTTTATTTTAAATATATTTTCTTTATTGATTTTAGGGACAGAGGGAGAGAAAGATAGAAACATCAATAAGAGAGAACACTGATTGGCCGTCTCCTGCATGTCCCCCACTGGGGATTTGGCCCACAACCTGAGCATGTGCCCTGACCAGGAATCAAACCAGCGACCTCTCGGTGCAGGGGTCAATGTTCAGTCCCAGAGCCTCACCGGCAGGGCATACGCACAGACTTTTAAAACTATATGATAAGTGAAAGAAACTGATAGCCAGCTCAACTATCTGAGGGCTTGGGGAGTATCAGACCAGGGGGCCCACTTCAGAACAAAGGTGATCCCCAGGGCCTGTCACACCATGGCCCCCAGAAGCTGCCACCCTGACAGAAACTGGGACCACCCACTGAGAAACCAGCCCAGAGGCAGCCTGAAGTGACTCTCTGTGGGGCTGGCCCATCGTTCAACATGGCATGGACTCCAACCCGAAGACTTCTCCTGGCGCAGGGGCCTGGGGACCAGGGATGCAAGCCAAGAGTGGCGCACCCCCATGGCTCCCCGTGACCCGCATGGGAATCTGTGCTTCCTGCGCCCCCCCCCCCACTATAGGTTCTGCAGATCTGGAGGTCTTGGTTCCCAAAGAGAGAGCAGTTCCACCTCTAAATTACCAGCTGAGACTGCTGTCTGGGCCTGCCAACCTCCTGTGGCTGAAGGACACAGGCGGCAGCTGTCACCACGCTAGCGGGGATGTATCCTCCTAACGCCACAGCTCACCAGACCACACCTGTCAACAGCGGGTATACAATTTTCTACCAAAGGCTCTATAGTTTTGATTTGAAGGCACAATTATAGAAATAACTTCCTTCAGTAAATAAGCACGTGTTAAGCCCTAGCTAGATGCTGCGCTATCACACACACACACACATTTAAATAAAATGTGATGCTGATGCAAAGCCAGGAACAAAGGTAAGAAACAATGGAAGATATGGCCAACATTTCAGGAATATGTCTACTTTTTAATCAAGGATACTCATTGCTTCTGCTTCCACAGAAACACTTATGTACATCACAATTATCTTTAAGAAGAAAACAATTACCTTTGAATTTCTTCTGGAAAAGTTGCACTGAACATAAGGGTTTGGCGCTGTTCCTTTGATGGCATTCCTGGGCAGGAAATCAACTTCTTCATTTCTGGTCCAAAGCCCATATCCAGCATGCGATCAGCTTCATCCAAAACTAGATATCTGACTTGTCTGAGACCAATCTTTATGGATATTTTCAAAGATCAGAGCAGAGAATGCACACTAATTAATATAGTAAACTAAAACATCCCCCACAATTCCAATTAATATATTCTTAAGAATGAAGATTAGAAATCAATACATAAAATGGGAATTGTTATGCTTAGATAATATTTTACTGTTTATTTCAGTTCTCAACTTTTCTCTAATGTTGTAAAACAGTTTATAAGTTAAGAGTGAAACCGCAACATCTTGATCGATTCTGCACAACAGACCCTAATTATGTACAAACCCGGCATCTTCACTGTCTGACGTGCTGGCCACTGGCCACTTGTCGTTCTTAAGCGGCACGTGGAATACGGCCAGTGCGCCTGACAACTGAATCTAAGTGTTACGTCAGCTCTGAAGGTAAAGAGCAGATGTGCTAGTGATGCTGCACGGACGGCACAGGGTGCGCGGTGTTCTCGGACAGGCAGACGCTAATTCCAGAAGGGACATCCCTAACAGGCTGGCAGATGCAAACGTCTGTGCCAGGGGCTACGCATACATGTTCTTTACTAATCCCTTCACCTTCTTTCATCCAGTCCCTCCCTCCCTCTCCTCCTGGGCACTCTGATAAGTACTCTAAGAAAAGTGCCTTGATAAAGAAAAAGCATGTTCTGAGAAACCCTTTAGAGAAGAGCTAAGAAAAGAAGCATCGTGTGCATCATGGCAGGGCCCTGAGGCGCTGCTGAGAGATGTGGAAATGTGGTGGTGAGAGCCTGCAGTCAGGGCAGGGCCCTAAAATCTCGCCTCCAATTCTTAGGAAAGGCACAGGCCTGGTCACTGCCACTCCCACTCCCACAGGAAACCCGACTACTGATGCCAGAGGCTTTCCTCCAGGAAGGACGCTCCCATCGAGACATCTGAAACTGGAGAAAAGCATTCAGGGCATTTCCTCTGAGTGTGGCCGGGTTAGGACGCGGATTCTGGAATCAGACCTAGACTCTAACCCTGGCCTACTGATGTACTAGCGCTAACGGGGGGAGGGGGGGGGATAAATCACACAGCACACGCAGCTTGTTTTCCCAAGTATGACATGAAAAACACTACTTAGGTCTTGCTGAAATTATTTTAAGATTCATGTAAGAACTAGTTAAAAATATGATAAGGCCTAAAACATAAATGGTTATAAACGGTGCTCTAACAGATACACCTATCTTTACACCACTGTCTCCATCTCCCATACAAAGCACTGTCCGTCCAGCCCGTGAGCACGGCACCCCTCCGGCCTACCTTCTCCTTGCCTATGATGTCCATCAGCCTCCCAGGAGTAGCACACAGCACGTTGCAGCCCTGGGCTATCTGGCGGACTGAATGCCCAAACTGGGTTCCCCCATATATGACAACAGCTCTTACACAAGTCCTAGTGACAAGAAAATAAACAGGATTTTCTAGTTACCTGAAAATGAGACATTTATTTTTAACAAAATGTAAAACAAAATCCATACAGACAAAAACTAACACATTAAAAAATCTTTAATAAATTATTCCCAGGAAGTTGATAAACAAATGAAAAAAATAATTTGTTACCTATCTGATAAACGGCAATTCAAAAACAAGGAAAAACACCCCCCACACACACTAAAATAGGACAAAAACATGAACAAATGGCTTATTAAAAGTACAAATGGCTTTTAAAGATATTTAAGTTACACATTATTTTCAAAAGGGAAACAAGAAAGACTAACACAAGGTTTTCCTTCGAGCTTGGTAGCATCGCGTCAAGCAGAGGACAGGGAAGCCGGCGCCACCTGCTTCACAAGTGTAGTCTCTATTACAACGTAAACACTGGCCCGGCCGGTGGGGCTCAGTGGACTGAGCATCATCCCACGGACTGAAAGGTCCCTGTTCGATTCCCGGTCAGGGTACATGCCGGGGTAGCGGGCTCGATCCCCAGTAGGGGGCGTGCAGGAGGCAGCTGATCGAGGTTTCTCACACTGATGTTTCTATCTCTCTCCCCCTTCCTCTCTCTCTCAAAACAAAAAAAACTTATTTCCATCCCAGTAAGTTCACACATATGAAGTCACCCTTCAGATGTGTCCCCATGATGGGCAACGATGCCTGTACAATGAGATTCATTGCCAACATTGTTTTGTAGCAAAGATTGAAAACTAAGCGTCTAACAATAGAAAACCACAATTACAGTCTACCCACCCAAAGGAACACTGTGCACTCACAGCGCGAAACTGGACGGTTCTAGAATAAGCAACACACAGCACTTAAGCTAACAGGTGGCAGCAGGTGAGCAGCCTGCCACCCGCCACAAGGACTGAAAGGACTCACGTGGAGGAAGGTGCAAGAGGGCGAAGCAGGCAGACACTGTGCTCTCCTCTTCCACGACCACATCGGCTGCATCTCAGAACATGCAGCTGAACAACAAACTGAGAACTGGCTGAACAGAAGCCCCATAACCAAAGATTTACAGAAGAAGCCACATCAGACTGGCAGAAAGGGTGGAGATGTGTCACGGGCTGGTCCCGTACCCACGGGTGGCAGCTGAGAATCAGGAGGGATGTCTCAGCGGCAAAGGTTCCCCCTTACGAGCAAGGGGTCTCAACCCACACTGGGCCCCCCAGCCAGAGCCCAGAGCCAGGAAGAGGAGCCCACACAACACCTGGCCATGAAAACCAGCAGGGATTCCACCTGTCCAGGTGAGACAGAAGGCTGCTGGAAACCCAGGTGTCCTCTTAAAGGGACAACGCCCAGACTCTCATTTGCGGGTGCTCACTCTGAGCCCCAGTGAAGGGATGAGGCTGGAGGCTCCCAGACCCACAGAGACAGCACTGTGTGGCTTCTGGGTGGGGGCTGGGGGACAGCCCCAAGGCCCCAAGTCAAGTCCTCCTCTGGCACGGCCCACAGGCACCTCCGCTCCTGGGCCAAGCACGCCCCCCACTCCACATCAGCCTGGGGAGCTGCACCAGCCCCGCCCTGACCATTCGGCTCTGGCCAACTCGTGGTTGGGCTGTCAGCGGCAGCCAAACCGGGCCCACATTGCAGTTTTGCTTGAAAAGTCTCAAGGAATTGCAGTCAGATTCAGGGTGCCACAGACACACAGGGACACACCAAGCCCATGGTTCCAGGGCGAGGGGTGCCTTACGCACAGGGACGGTGCCACCTTCCCTCTGGTGAGCCCTCCCTCCACATCCGAATCTGCTTGTGCCTGGAACTCTACTAGCTCTGCCCTGGCAACACCCTGAACCCTTGCCCCAGGCAGGTGGCGGCTGGCCTCGGAGTACCCTGAAACCTGTGCTGAGTGGTCTCAGACCCAGCACTGACACCAAGTGTGAACCTGTATCATCCAGGTGAACACCACTTGCCCCTACCCGGTGACTCCCTGAGAACCTGCCTCATACAACATGTCCAACCTGAGGTCCTTCCAGTAACAAGCCTGGCGGGAGGCCGGCAGCAAGCCTGGTTCTCAGATGGCCGCCTCATGGGCCCTCAGGCACAGCCCACAAAGGCAGCCATGAGCCGTGAATCGCTGTGTAGCTCCTAACAGGCAGGCCAGCGCCAGCCATAGGCAGCGCTGACGCTGACCTGCACCGGAGTCCCTCCCAAGAGGCCCTAGAACCAACATGCCCACTGGCCAGCGCCAGCCCACAGAGGAGCACCGCTGGATCAGCTCTGCAAGGGGCACACACGAAGGGAGTTCTCGGAGGCACCAGACCCCATTGGGTCAATTCTGCTCTGTGGGGTCAGTCCCTGCAGAGCAGCTTGTACATTGTGGTTGTGATAACATCCACAGTCAGTCTGAGAATCAACCCCATCCACTGAGATGCCAACAGCAATCAAGGCTCAACTACAACAGAAGGGCTCACATAACCTACACAAGAGACACTCCTGGAGACCCTGGCTCAGGTGACCAAGAAGACTGTCACCGGGCCCCATAAGAAACCTACCTAGCATACAAGGCTACCCTACCAAGACTGGGAGACACAGAGTTCTACCTAATACACAGAAACAAACACAGAGAGGCAGTCAACATGGGGAGACAAAGAAACATGCCCCAAATGAAAGAAGTGTAGAAATCTAGGAAAAGAACTAAATGAAACGGAGGCAAGTAATCTACCAGATACAGAGTTCAAAACAATGGTTATGAGAATGCTCAAGGAGCTCAGAGGAAAAATGTATGAACTCAATGAGAGCTTCAACAAAGATGGTAAGCATGAAAACAGACATGGAAACTCTAAAAAGAACCAGTAAGAAATTAAGACAACACTAAATGCAATGAAGACTACACACACAAAGATGAACAGCAGATTAGCTGAAGCACAGGAAAATCAGGATTTGGAAGACAAGGTAGTAGAAAACACCCAATCACAGCAGAGAGAAAAAAATTTTTTTAATGGGGATAATTATCTCTGGGACAATATCAAGTATAACAACATCCACACTAAAGAAGCACCGTAGAAGGGAAAAAGCAAGAGACTACAAACCTATTTGAAGAAATAATAGATGAAAACTTCCCTAACCTCGTGAAGGAAAAAGACACACAAGTTCAGGAAGCACAGAGAGTCCCAAACAAGATGAACCCAAAGAGGCACACACAAGGATACCTCATTATTAAAATACCAATATTAAAGACAGAAAGAGAATCCTAAAAGCAGCAAAAGAAAGACCGTTCGTTACCGACACAAGACCACCCATAAAACTGTCTGTTCTTTTCTCAATAGAGCCTTTTCAGGTCAGCAGGGAGAGGAAAGACACATTCGAAGTGATAAAAAGCAAGGGCCTACAACCAACGCCGCTCTAACCAGCAAGGCTGTCACTTAAATTTGAAGAGATAAAAGAACTTCCTAGACAAGAAAAAGCTAAAGGAGTTCACCACCACCAAACCAGCATTACCAGAAATGTTAAACAAACTTTTTTTAAATCCTCACCCGATGACATTTTTTTTGCATTTATCTTTAGATAGAGCAGGAGGAAGGAAGAGAGAGAGAGAAACATCGATGTGAGAGAGACACATCAAGTAGCTGTCACCCACACAACCCCAACCAGGGCCAGGGACAAACTGCAACCAAGGTATATGTCCTTAGCTGGAACCGAACCCGGGTCTCTCTGGTCCACGGGCCGACGCTCTAACTGCTGAGCCAAACCAGCAAAGGCTACACAAATTTCTTTAAGAAGAAACAAAAAATAAGAGAAACACAGTTATAAAGAATAAAATGGCAATAAATAGTATATTTTTATCAATAATCACTTTAAATGTAAATGGATTAAGCACTCCAACCAAAAGACATAGGGTAGTTGAATGGGTAAGAAAACAAGACCCATGTATATGCTGTCTACCAGAGAACCACTTCAAAACGTTAGGCACATACAGGCTGAAAGTAAAGGGATGGAAAAAGATATTTCATGCAAATGGATATTTTTTAAAAGGTAGGGTAGCAATACTTGTATCTGACAAAACTTTAAAAAACAATGGCTATAATAAGAGACAAAAAAAGAACATTAAATAATAATCAAGGGATCAATCCAACAAGAGAATATAACCCCTGTAAACATTTACACACCCAACATCGGAGCACCTAAATATATAAAGCAAATTTTGATGGACATAAAAGGAGAGAGCACTGGTAATACACTCATAGTAGGGAACTTTAATACTCCACTGACATCAATGGAGTGATCTTTCAGATAGAAAATCAACATGGAAACAGCAGCCTAAAATGATCCATTAGACCACATGGAATTTAATTGATATCTTCAGAACATTTCACCCCAAAGCAGTAGAATACATTCTTTTCTAGTGCACATGGAACATTTTCCAGAATAGACCACATGTTGGGCCACAAAATAGGTCTCAATAAATTTAGGTAGATTGAAATCATATCAAGCATCTTCTCTGACCACAATGGTATGAAACTAAAAATCAACAAGGAAAAAAAAAAAGAAAAACACATAAACACATGAAGGCTAACATTTTACTAAAACAATGAATGGGTTAACAATGAGATCAAGGAAGAAATTCAAAGATACCTTGAGACAAATGTAAATAAAAACACAACCCAAAATCTATGGAATGCTACAAAATTAGTCCTAAAAGAAAAATTCATAGCAAGACAGGCCTACCTCAAGAAAGAAGAAAAATCTCAAGTCAACAATCTAACCTTATATCCAAAGGAATTAGAAAAAGAACAGCAAACAAAGCCAAAAGTGAGTAGAATGGAAAAATTAAGAAAAATCAGAGTGGCAATAAACAGAATAGTCTAAAGAAATAAGACAAAATGATCAATGAAACCAAGAGCTGGTTCTTTGAAAAGATAAAACAAGATTGATAAACCTTTAATCAGTCTAATCAAGAAAACAAGAGAGAGGACCTAAATAAATAAAATCAGAAATGAAAAAAGAGAAGTAACAACA